TAATTATGGGATAGAATTGTCATAAAATAAATCAATTAAAATATGGATTATTTTGCATAACATGAACGAATAATAGTATAGTCAAATGATTGATTAACAATGATATCGATGTATTTAGGAATATTTGATAGATAATATGAGAACATATACAAGTAATTGTAAGTGATGACTATGAAGTGGATGCACAAAACAATCTGTAAACCAATCGACACACTGTATGTACATAAGTGGAAGATGGCTTGATGTTTTTATGTTGTGTTTGTGTATGTTTGTCTAAAAAATAATAAAACTTTTTTTAAAAAAAAAGAAATTTCACTCATTGTTACAGCCTGTCATATTGTGTATTGCCAGCTGTTTGGCTTGATTTTACATAAGTGAGTAATTCTGTTTGGTGGAAGAAAGATATTGTGTCCTTAGACACACCGATGTTGGATATTTCAGGGTTCCACCTTCTCCTTTTTACTCTTTAATAGTTATCTAAAACCACTGGAGGAAGTTCATCTGTGAGCACAGAGTAAAATATCATTGGTATCCTTGTTTATCTGTACCTTGGGCAAATTAAGAGACACAGTCCAAGTTCTATCTTGGTGTCATAAAATTATTAACATAAAAGTTCTACTTTTATGTGTCTGAGGGGTGTTGGGATCTGGCTGAGGAGAAACAGGCTTAATACAAACAAGAGCATGGCTGTTGATCAAAAAGCATTTTGACTATAGAGGCAGACCATCGTTTACTAAAACTGGGGTTATGATCCTCATAGAGGGCAGAATCACATTGGAGGTTTATTTTATTTATTTAGGGAGTTTATATTGCCGCCTAATTTGCACATGGCGTTTCTCTGGAGTCATGAATCCTTCTGAAAAAGCAAGTTGAAGCCATGGCCAGGACATATTTTGTAGAGTTCTGCTTGTGTGCCAGCTGCAGCTTTTTCTGAACTGGAAGGTATAGTGACAGCCACTCCTGACTTTTGTTATCCCTTGTCTAGATTGTAATTGACTCTACACCAGACTACTGTACTCATGTCAGACCATTATTGCAAAAATTGAAATGGCTACGGATGTGTCTGATACAATTCAAAGTGAGGGTTTCCCTCTATTGAGCCGTATATGTTTGGGACCTGATGTTTGAGATGGTTCCATATGGAAGCTAACATTTGGCAAAAGCTATAGAATGTGAATGAAAGGGAACTCAGGAGCTAGTCTTCTGTTTTTACAGTGACTGTTCCCTAAAGTAGCATAGTCCTGGAGACAAGGATAACCTCATTCCTTTTGGGAGATAATTAAGAAGCGGCTGTTCCATGGGGCATTTGAGGATGGATCAGGTGTATGAATTTGGCTGTTCCTGATTTGATAAGAAGGCTCTGAGTGGCAATAATAAGATACTATATTATTATTTCCTAAATTACTTTTTTAAAAAAACTTAATTATTGGAAGTAGGAATTGATAGCTGTTGAGATTTTGGGACTGAGGTGATGTAAAAGTGAGGTGGTAAAGAAACACATAAAGTAATTAAAGTAAGATGGAAAAATAGAGAAGATTTTAAAATCTATTTTGATTTGCGAACGGTATTGTCTGCCATTAAAAAGTATATTTTGCAATGGGAGAGAAAGGAAAGCACAGGGACTCTCAAGTTTTATACACCCCATAGTTTTATACATTGTTTATGATCTTAGCAAAACTGCCACAAGGTCCAAATCCTCTCATTTACTCATATTTTTTCAGATCAAACATGGATTAATACAGACTATATGGGGGCAGCACTAAGGTACTTCCTGAAAACATGGTGTTATCTAGCTGCATAGCAAGAAAAAAAATATTTGCTGATGGAACATGTCAGGCTCAGGCTTTTCTCCAATTATTTGGGTTTATTTAATCTTGTGCTAGTCATTGACTGACTGGACTTTATCATAATATGCATGTAACTGATTGGTTTTCTTTTTCCTGGTTGTGTGACCACACTCAGGCAAGAATTTTAAATTAAGTCTTTTGAATATTGGGATTCAGTGGCAGAATAAAACGAGAGTAGTATAAGTCATGCATTTACGTTTTGTCTCCATCCTTGCCTATCTGTCTGTCCTAGCCAAAATGAGGGGACCTTACAATCAGATTGACAAGGGAAGGGAAGCAATTGGGCCTTTGAAAAAGAAAGTAATGCTCTTGAGAAAAATCCTTCAGCCTTTTCTTTTAGACTGCTTTTGTTTCTGATTGAGATTTGTTAGGCATGTACTATTCCAGCTCTTTGTGAGAAAGCTTTTAATTTAGTTTATTTGGGAATAATTTTAGAATGCGTCCTCCTTCTGCAAGCAAATTTAGAGCAAAGACTAGGTTGATTGGAAAATCCTAGGATGAAATCCCTTCTGTGGGGATCTTCCTGAATGAGAAACTCTATTGGGGGTGAGAACAGAGAAAGCTCCTTTTTGGCCTCTGGTCTAAAGCTTTCCCTTTAAGACCAGAGGCCATTTGTGCCTTGGATGCCAGCCCAGTTGGTTCCCCTCTCTATAAATGTTGGCTTTTGCTGATAGAGCTGAACAGCCAGGCCATTGTATATGTCAAGACCACTGGAGAAAATGCCTGAGTGGTGTTTTATATAGTGTTGTCAGTGTGCTCTCTTTTAGGGTTGCATTTTTTCCTCCTCCTCCTCCTCCTCCTCCTCCTCCTTGCAGAGACTTGGTTGTCATGGGAACTGCTGCTCTTCCATCCTGTTGGTACAGAATGGAGAAGCCTCCCAGTTTTTGAATAGTGTTCTGCCCATCTATTGTGAGCTGAATGGCACATTTGCGATAATTGCAGATCTTATTAAAATAAAAATGTCCCTATTACTGAGATAAAATAGGACCTGGAGCTACAACTAACTCAAAGAGAAATAGGAATAATGTATGTTGACCATACGGGGTGAATAGGCCATGCAGAACTTTACTAGATTTGTTTTTCTGCTAGATACTGATCTACAGAGGAAAAAAATATAGGGAAAACTCATCAGGGCTAACTGGAATCTTAAGTAAAAGGGGAGCATTTTACAGAAGTTTAAAAATACATGGTTTTACATGTGCCATTGTTTCCACCTTCTCTGATCCTCCAGAACAAATCCGCTTTAACATAGACTCTGAAAGTATCTCCCTGACAAAAAGGGAGAGAAATGAGCATTGCATTGAGTATAAATCCTGCTCTGATTTGGGACTATTAAGTTACATGGAGAGTTGAAAGGGTGATAGCTTTTTCCCAGGTTGATAGAGTAGCAATTAGAGGGGGTCCTTGCGCCTTTTTTTGTTTTGTTTTTGAAAATCTGTATCCATTACAATTTGTCTTATTGTTGTCTTAGCATTGGTACAATGCTAAGCCCATGGTACAATAGATATGAATTTAGGAGCAAACTCAAACTTATGATGTTTTCCCTGCTTATTTAATTGCCTATTAGAATTCTGAAGAACTTTTGCAAACAGGATGATCACCGAAGCTATGGTTTTGAGATTTTTGCACGGGATATTTGTTAGTACTCCAAATGCTGAATGTACTTATGTTATCACATTTGCTCTTACTGTACTACTTCCAGATGCAAAACAAATCTAACTCTAAAGCATCAACTTGATTGGCTTGAGTTCTATGACCCTGACTTTGAAAAGAATAAATAAATAACAGGCAAGTAACATTTAATTGCAGAAAGATGCAATTAACACGCTTCTGTTGCAGATGTATAATGAGGTCTTACTGTAAAGACAGAATGTGTTACTGGAAAAAAAATGAAATCTAATTTTGCCCAAAGGACCCTAAGGTTTTTGTCCATTGGTAAAATTATAAAAATTACAAAGAAAGAAAATGCTAATCTAAACAGAGGAAATGAATTGATAATATCAGCAGCTTTAAACGGTTATTGGAGATTAGGCAGTGAAAAAAATAAAAATCAACAAATAGCAAGGACTCATTGTTATTTTAAGTCAACTATATAGATAAATATTTGTATAATTTCTGGCCTTATGCTTCTCTGAATCCTAACATGAGTGTTAAAATTTAGAAGCACATTGGAGTTTCAAATGCTTTGTTTCAAATATTAAACCTGAGAGAGTTCTACAGTGTGGACCATTTTACCTGCCCCTAAGTTGGCATGTGTTGTATAATGTGTGAACTGCACTAGTTGTTGGTTTACTTCCAGGTCTAATTCAAGGTATTGATTATGACTTTAAAGCCCTTTGTGGCATGGGGCCAGGTTTTATGGCAAATTATGTCACTGCAATGGGATTAGCCTACTCCATTTGATTCAACAGAAGGAGCTATGGACTTTGTATAGGACAAGGAGTTTTGGTTCGTGGGTTCTAGAAGAGCCTTTTCTGCTGGAGGGAAGGTTTGCCCCCACCTGCATGTATATCAAAATGCTAGTCTCAGATTCTCTGGTATATCCTTTACATTATCTGCATAATTCCACTAATGGGTGATTTGTCTGAATTGCACCTTTGTCTTTTTTCCTCAAGGGATCTTGATGCAGAAATAGCTTATTCTGCTTTTTCTCATCGCAGCTAACTGCAGTGACACATTACTTGCTGGGTTCAACTTAATAATAGAAAGATAAAAATCCTGTATTTCTTGGCCTTTCAGTTAACAGTAACCCCTCCCAGCCCATATCTGTCTGATTATATTTTATCTGTCACTTGTAGGTAAATCTACATACTTCCAGACTATGGAATCTAATGCTACCAGGCATTTATAAGTACTTGTAACACTGCAGTGATGTTGGTTTTCCCAAATTCATGATTCTATTATACCCAGATAATATGAAAGGTCTTATATTTATTTAATTTTCAATTTTATTGTATACATGTTGTGCATTGACAATAAATGTTTGATTGATTAATTAAACATACAGATTTTGCAACTTCATGAGGATTTCTATGATTGTACTACTGGTGCCCTAGAAAAGCTGTCTGACGTATTATCCCTTTATATTCTCTAGTACTTTACTTGTATAATTCCTTAAAAGAGATGCTCTCCCCACCCATTTATTTTCTGCAGGATTCGTCCTCAGATGCCAAAGGAAAAGATTGAAGGATGCCACATCTGCACATCAGTAACACCTGGAGAGCCCCAAGTACTCCTAGGAAAGGACAAAGCATTTACCTATGACTTTGTCTTTGACCTGGACACTTGGCAGGAACAGATCTATACAACTTGTGTAAGCAAGCTGATTGAGGGCTGCTTTGAAGGCTACAATGCAACTGTGTTGGCATACGGCCAGGTTTGTGCCTTTTTCACTCTCCTCACAGTTTCTGTTATGATCTTATCTGAATGAATTGGCTTGGTTAAAGTGACCATGTTTCCTGCTTTATGTCGACTAGAGTACTATATTTCATGAGAAATCATTCTCTATTTGAGGGCTTCTCCGATTAAGTTAAGTTTAAAGATAATAAAGCCCATCAGAAAAGAGTATGACAACCCCTTAAATTTTAGACTTTTTCACTAGAGGGAGAGATACTATAGTTTTATTTGAAATTTAGTATTTAATTATATGTGTCTTGTGTATGTAATAAAATAGGCACTTTTTATACAATGTGGGACCTTTTGTCTTCCTATATAGCAGTTCTTCTGGGGGAAGCTGTATAAGGGGTAACAGTAACTCTTACTTAAGTATGAAGTGGCCTTGCCATAAAGTAAAATGAGGAGGGATTGAGATTGTTTATTTTGAAGGGGCAGTTTTAAGAAATGAAAAATTTAAAGATCATTAAAGCTATCCACTGATTGGTATAAATAATGGAACTAAATACTCCTGTACCAATAATTATATGGAAAAATCCTTCGGGGCATTGGAAATAATGATGAAAATTGGTCTTTAGAATTAGGGAAAAGATACAGAGTAAATACCAGAGTAGAAAGCAAATATATCTTTCCTTATTTAAAACTTACAAAAAACATGCTGCAGTGGATTCGCAGTTAGCTCTGTAGAGTAAGGAACAGTCAAATTTCATGGGGCGAATAGACTTAAGGACGAGGCGTTTAGCTATATATCGAAAATATATCTTCAGATATATATCCAGTCCTCAAGTTAATAAAAGAATTTTTGATCAAAAGAGTATTTTGTTGGCATCACCCATCTGGTAATATACAGTTAGTACACAGACCGACATTTCTTCAAAGTTCCATTTTATCAGAGTTGTTATATTGGCACATCTGGGAGAACTTGAATCTGAGAATTCTGGGTTTTTCCTTCCTAAAAGAAAAACAAAGATCCATCCCCTGCATCCATTAGTCCATCACATGGCCCATTTAAATCTTCGTCCCAACTGGAGACATCCCTCCAGTCAATCCCCTCCAGGTGCAGGGCGACATGTCCTTGACTCTCTGAGAAAGAATGTTGTTGTGTCTAATCTTCTACCTCACCATGAAATCCCCCCTCCCAAATTCAGGCACTAAATGTGGCAGCCTCGAAGCTTCCAAGTAAAAAACGGCTTCCAAGGCTGACAATCATAGTGCATTGAAATTTTTCTGGATATATCATAACATTTGCTTAGCTCATCTTTTTAATGACTAGAATGAAGCATACTTTTGGGACTAATACTCTGTTTTTACCTATTTGTATTCTTTCTTCATTTCTCATAGTTTCTAATACTAATTTCATATCCTATTGTGGATATTCTATTGGCTGAGCCTTGTTTTTAATCATATTTTTTTCCAAGGGACTTGTACTTCTTTAGGACCAATGCTTCAGTTTTCGTAGAGCCTTATAAGCCAAATGAGGCTGAGTGCAGTAATAGCATCTAAAAGCAACCTAATGAGCATATGAGGGTTTGAAATTAGTTTTCTCACATTTCAAGCCATGACTTCACACTGGTTCTCACCAGCCCTTGGGAAAGGATGGGAGAGAATTTGAAATGAATTAATTGGTTGCCAGAATAACACATGGTAAATTAATGTTGATTAAAAATGGCAGCAGTTGACAAGCTTGCAAATTAGCTTGTGATGTTAAATGGCTTTTCATTTTAGAAATTCATATTTCCCTTCTCTCCAGGGCAATGTTATGTTTTTATGTTACACAAGAGATGCAGTATAATGTGGAGTCACTTTAGCTAATGAAAAAACTATGACAAATATGTAAAAAGATGTGGCATGAACTAGAATTTAAAAAAACAAGGCAAGGAGTAAATCTGATAGTGATACTCTGTGTTTGCTTTTAAGACCAACAGAACAGACTAAAGGTACATACTTTCTTACCTATTTTGCCATGTGACAGTTCCATGAAATACTTCTACTGTCTTTTAGACAGGTGCAGGCAAGACTTATACCATGGGCACTGGTTTTGACATGAATACTTCTGACGAGGAGCAGGGCATAATTCCACGGGCCATCGCCCATCTCTTCAATGGCATACAAGCACGTAAGCAGGCTGCACAAGACCAGGGGGTCCCCATCCCAGAGTTCAAAGTCAGTGCACAGTTTTTGGAGGTAAGTATATTGGTGTTGAAGAGAGTGAGTCTTGACATAAGAGTGTTTAGAAACTCACTGATACGCCAACTTGAACTGGAAGGTGGGGTGGAATTTCTCTATTTCAGTGTCTGAAGATAAATAGTGAACAGTGATATTATTTCAGTTCAGGTACAAGTTAAAGTATTGGGTATTCCTATATAGTCTCAACAAGTGGCAGCTTTTAACTAATCAACCTAGTGAAATATTAATGGTTGATATTTGGATAGGAGGCTTCCAAGGTGATGCCAGTATGCTAGACTAAGAAGTTAAAAAGAAATCCCACAGTAAACAGTTTCTGTATTATTGCCAATAAAACTGTATGGTGTTCAGGAAGCCACCAGAACTCAATCTTGACTTGAAGAAGGCCTTATCTTTATCATTCTTATATATATCTTGTATGCAATAAATAACCTGTGAACAGAAGATAAATTCTTGACAATAATTGTAAAAAAATGCAAAATACAAACTACTCTTCTTATAGCCCTCAGGTCTCATTACTATTGAAACACTGTTGAGATCTCAGGATTGCCACACAAATAAATTGTATTATTTACTTACCTGCTTCTGGCTGCTGCAAATGTAATAGACAGAACATTTGTCTTAGTGTTCAGAATTTAGGGGAAGGATATATTTCATTTAGTGCCTCTCTATATTTTTACTTCTATAACAACTCCTTTAGGTTTATCCCAATAATGAAATTCTCTCCTTATAAAGAGCACCAAATCTTAAAACCAAAGGAGATGAATAATTTCACACTATCTGTAACAATTACAGAATTTTAAACTTGCTAATTTTTTTATAGGCTTTTTGACATGTAGTAGTTTGACACTTTCTGCCAAAATAAAATACTAAGCTTTGATCTTCAAACATTTATATATCTAATTTTTTTCCATTTTGGTTTGTTGTGGAGCAGTTTAAAAAAGCAAAACAATATGTTAACTAGTAGTTTGTTTTTCTGTTTCATTTTTCAGCTATATAATGAGGAGATCCTGGATCTTTTTGATAGCACAAGAGACCCTGAGAATCGCCACCGAAAATCAAATATCAAAATCCATGAAGATACCAGTGGTGGTATCTATACCACAGGTGTTACATCACGTCTCATTAGCTCACAGGATGAGGTAAGTGATTTTAATTTTTGTGCACATAAACTCTTTCTCTTATGTTTCATCTTACTGGAGCAGTTATTAGTTTCTGATTCCAAGTTCACAGACACTAAAAGAGGTTACATTTTCTTCACTTTACCTAGCAGATAAAGTAGATAAAAGTGAACTCGAGTAAAGTTGGACAGATGGGTAGTTTTCTGAACAACAGTACTGAATGGAAATGATTTTCCATTCATTTTATTCCCATATGTTTTTCAACTTCCCCATCTAGCCTACAATCCTGGTATTGTTCAGTACTTTCTCATCCGTCCAATCAAGCTTACCTTCTAAGTCCAGATAAGATGTTATTACTTAGTCAGTTTCACCTATAAAATATATCTAAAGACTGAGGTAGCAAATTCAACTTTCCTATCTTTGCAACAAAGTGGTTAGATTATGAAAACCAAGCTTTAATTGAACTGCAGTAACTGATTTTGTGTATACGTGGGATTTTGAGATTAGAATTCTTCAACTGTGTTTCAAACTTTAGCTTGGTTGCATTCTGAGTTCACTAGAGTTGTTAACATTCCAACATTCTATTTAGATTCCAATTGCCATTCATTATTTGGATGGTGCCCATAACAGAACCCATTTTTTTCAACTATGAAAAATCTCTCTTCATTTTGCTTCTCATAATGGGAAACATCATCTTTAGCTTTCCTCACATTTCCATTTTTACTTTTTGCAGCTCAAATTGTTACGCTTATTATGTTCTAACAACTAGAAACTAGCTGATACTGTGTATATTTTGATTGGTTGGAAATATTTCTTAGTTTTAACAGATAACAAGCCTTGGAAGCTACAATAGAAACTGAAGCGGGTGGGATCGGAAAGGGTCTGCTTACACTTTGTCCCTCTGATTATTCCCCATATGTAGTTAAATGATAGAGGCCCCATAAATCTTTCCTCTTACAGACAGAGCAGCAGCTGGGAAATTGTTTTATTTTTATTTCATTACTTTAACATACATTCCTATCCTGGGAATTTATGTGAAGAATCATCTATATATTTTTGTGGTAAATATAAAACAAACCAAAAAGTGGTTTCTCAACATTAAGACAAAAATCCACACCATTATTCAAAGCCTCTTAAGAACTCACAAAACGCTTATGAAGCATAAAATGAATCAAATCATGCCAAATATTCTTTCATAGCCAAAACCATATTAACAAAGCCAAATTCCTGTTCTTGAGTGTTGTTCTTCTAAAAGACACTGTACAGCTGCCATGCACAACTGTATCTTTGCCAACCTGATGCACTATTGCTTTATTGGATTTCCGTTCCCTCATTGTCTGGAGAAATTCAACATATCTGAAAAGCATCAGGATGAGAAAAACTGGCATTGAATTTATACATACAGATCCTTCCTTCTTTCCTTCAAATAGTGATAGCGCTCCCAGTGTACGATCTTTTTCAGCATACTGAATTGCAAGGAGTGGTGGGTTTGTTTTAGATCCTTGAATGGCATTTCCTAATGTTTTGAATCAAAAGAATATCATTATTGAATAACAGAAAGAAGAAATTTTAAAGCAGTTCAATTATATGCATAAATACATATGCATTGAATCTTAAATTTTCAACATTTTCAAATATTTCAGCTGGCATGAATAGCTAACACCCAAGAAGATAGGCTCAAGATCCAAATGGATCTTGACAGACTAGAACACTGGGCCATATCTAACAAAATGAAATTCAGTGTAGAGAAAAGTAAAGTCCTACACTTAGGCAAGAAAAACCAAAAGTACACATATGGACTGGGTGAAACCAGGCTCAATAGCAGTAACTGTGAGAGGGATCTTGGAGTCTTAGTGGACAACCAGCTAAATATGAGCCAGCAGTGTGCAGCAGCCGCCAAATTTGAGAGGCTGCCACAGAGAGGAGAAGGTCAAGCTATTTTCTAAAGCGCCCACTTTCTCCTTGATCACTCTTCACTTGGAAACCCCTTTTAACTCAGAGAAAGATTTACCTGCATGTAACATCTAGTTCAGGTTGTATTATTACTGTCTTGTGGCATGTAGGGGAAGATTTTTGCCATGTTTAAAAAGGTAGTATAGCAGCTTAGAATTAGAATTAGAAAAACTTTATTGTATTTGTACAAGTACAACGAAACTGAGAATGCACCCCAGCAACCGTTTTCAATACAATAAAACCAAAGCACTTAAAAATGAAGATAAGAGTACCCATGTCTCCATTTGCAATTTGAGAGTACAATATCTACAAATATACACAAAATATACATCCAACACTGACTGTAACACTTAACCGAGTATAATACACAAGAGATGGATTGTACTGTAATATGTTATTATACATCTGAATGGGGTATTGAGATTTCACATCTTTTCACATCTTAATGAGATAGTGACTTCATGTTTATTTGTGGTTCGGATGGCCCAGGGAAAGAAACTATTTGTTAGTCTAATGGTGTGGGATTTTATTGACCTAAAACTCCATCCAGATGGCAGCAGGTCAAAAAGATAATTGCCAGGGTGCGAGGGGTCTTCTATAATGGCCTTGATTCTGCTTTGGCAGCGGGTCCTGGCTAAATCTTCCAGGGAGGGCAGAGGGCAACCAATGATCTTTTGAGCTGTGTTTATCACCCTCTGTACAGTTTTCCTGTCCTCAGCTGTGGAGCCTGCATACCACACACCCAGACAATATGTCAGAGTGCTCTCCACAGAGGCTTTATAGAAAGCCAGCAACAGCTTCTTATACAGATTCTTCTTCCTGAGAACCTGCAGGAAGTGCAGCCGCTGCTGAGCCTTCTTCACTATGGCCTTGGTGTTAGGGGACCAGGAGTTATCAGCTGAAATATGGATGCCAAGGAATCTGATCGTAGGGACAGTTTCCACTCATTCTCCGTTGATGATGAGTGGGGCGTGGTCCTGTCCATGTCTCCTGAAGTCCATAATCAGTTCTTTGGTTTTATGGACATTATTTAAGCAAGATGGAATAGTATTTTTCCTTTACACGTGTGTGTGTGTGTGTGTGTGTATGGGGCTTGCACCTGGTCTGACAGTATATCCTTTATCCCATTGCAGCTGATCCAGTGCCTGAAACAGGGAGCTCTCTCCCGAACCACAGCCAGCACCCAGATGAATGTCCAAAGTTCCCGCTCCCATGCTATCTTTACAATCTACCTTTGCCAAATGCGTGTCTGCTCTCCTGTACACTTGGTAAGGCCATAAGGAGGGGGTAAGCTAGATCAGACAGGATCGTGTCTCTTGCCCCTTTGCTATCAAATGGACAGGATGGAATTTTTGGTGGCAGAGATGTAGTGTAAGAATTAGAGATGCAGCAAGAACTTTGAGTGGAAGTAGTGATGGAGAGCTTGGGAGTTTGAATCAGCCTCATTATCTCAGAAGAGAAAGTGCTGGCTTCTCATGCCAGCAGCAAGTTAATTTTTCATTTTGGGTTTTATCACAATATAACTATAATTGATATTTTATGTGGTACAGGTACTAGCAAATTATATCATGTAACCTAATTCTGGGACTTGTTCTTACTACAGGTGAATGGAGACACAAACAGTCTTCTGGATGGATCCCAGCCTACTAGTGAATATGAGACCCGAACCGCCAAATTCCACTTTGTTGATCTGGCTGGCTCAGAGAGATTGAAACGAACTGGGGCCACAGGCGAGAGAGCTAAAGAAGGCATCTCTATCAATTGTGGTTTGGTATGGTGGATTGCTTTTAAGACTGAATTTTGGTTGTAGTTTAATGATGTTTTATTTTATTATTTTCTGTGGTGAATCTCTATTGGTGAGTTGTGTTTGCTCCCTTGAGCATTTTTGCTTGGATAGAATGGTGGGATATAAACAACAAATGGGTGGTGAGGAAGATAGGCCCAGGGGTGGGATTCTACCAGTTCGCACCTATTTGCAAGAACCGGTTGTTAAACATTCTAAGCAGTTCAGAGAACCGGTTGTTAGAAGAAATTACTGGCCTCATCCTGTAAGGAAGGCAGGAAGGAAACATTCTGGTGTTGCTTACAGAAACTGCCTTTCTGTTAACCCTTATTACATTCTTGGCAGGACTAGACTTCCTGTCTCTGGAAGTTTTTTCCCCCTCCTTTGCTGGTACTTTGTGTGGAGTGACCCTTCAAAGTTACTGTGGCACTGAAAAAAGTGTCTTATGACCATTTTTCACACTTACGACTGCTGCAGCATCCCCACAGTCATGAGAGGCCAGGCGAGGAGATGTGTGCCTCGATGTGAGTGATATTGAGTTGGCCATGCCCAGCCAATAACATGACCACCAAGCCATGTCCACCTAGTCACATGACCACCAAACCATGCCCACCAACTAAGCCACGCCCACAGAACCAGTTGTTAAAAAATTTGAATCCCACCCTTGGATAGGCCCCTTAATATTCAGTCCAGCGTCTTGTGATTCAGGGCACTCTCTTGCACAGCCACAAACTTTGCTCCACAGACTCTCACAACCATTTTGAAAAGAACCCTCTTTACAGTCCTCTCAGAATATAACGAACACTAGAAATGCTCACTAGTGCTCGATCCAGTGGGCAAAAAATTAGCACAAACATGTTCAGCCAGCACCCTGCCTCTCATTCTTACTTCATTCTGAGTTATTAAAAAAAAAAAACAGGAAAGAGGGCAAAGAGCAAAGTGGCACATATTCTTAATCGCTGAAATACTGAGGAGTCATTTCAAGTTATTGGCTATATGGAGGGAAGAGTCAAGGAGCTAGGATGAGGTTGCCCACTCCTAAACTCTGAAGTCTATGGTATGAAGCTAATATTGCAGTAACTCGTTTTACCCTCTAGATGAGCCAGAAACCAATCAGCTATGCTGCTTAAACAAGACTCTGGAGCATGATTGTGCAGGCATTGAAACTATTCAAGAGTGGTGTAAAGTTTTCATGTGGAAGTTCCCTCAGTAGTTTAAGGTCCTCCACAAAAATGAGTTTGGACGTATTGATTAGGAATTGAGCTGTTGATAACATGCAGGTTTCACAAAAGGGAATTACCTATGTAATGTATTATGTATTGCTTCTGGAGGGCAGAGTCCCATTTACTGGAATAGCTGCAAAAGAATAATTTGGTCTTTTCAAAAATATGAAAGTTTGACTAATTTCTGTTATCAATCAGTAGCTTTGACATTTAGTTAAAGGGCTGCATCATGCATTTCTTTTTCATGTCAAATCCTAACACAGCTGCAGGGTATATTTTAAAATATAAAATATGAATGTGACATTTGAAACAGGCATCATATAATATACTTGTTGCAATTTTTTGTGATGTATATATATAGCATCAAGCAGTATTATTTGACCATGACCTTGTAAGTTAGGTGTTATCTTGCAAAACAGTGAAAGAATTAAATAACAAAAGGGAAATGGCACATAAAAGATTAAAGTAGTAATGCTCAGGATCCTTCTGGAGGTAAAAGAATCAAGAAGAAAACCAGAAGTCCACTGGAAGTCATATGTAAAACATAAATATTTGACCAATTTTTTTGAGCCATGTTTTTTACCAAATACAGTTTCCCTATAATTGTGAGGATTGGGGATTTTTAATTAGAAGAGAATCTTTGAATTGATATGTGTTTCATAAATAAAAAGGTGGCTTTATGTAGTTCAATGAAGGTGGGTAACTAGTCTAGCTGCCTTTTTTAAAAAAAATTCATATATCACATTCCTGTAATGGAAAAATGATGTCATTTTATCAGTCTGATCTTCCTTTAAGTGGGGAGAATCCACTTCCCAGCCAATGTGTGTTTTTATCTAATAAGCAGGGAATGGAAGGAGGACAATAGTCTGGAGTTCTGATGATTATCTGAGAAAAATTTATGGAGTAACAGTTCCAAAATAAAGGCAATAGGAAACGAAGGCAATTTAATTACTGACTTTTCTATTTTTCTGACAGCTAGCATTAGGAAACGTCATCAGTGCCCTTGGGGATCAGAGCAAGAAAGCATTGCACGTGCCCTACCGAGATTCAAAATTGACCCGGCTTCTCCAAGATTCACTTGGTGGAAATAGGTAAATGGAAATAAATATTATTAGAGCACCTTATGCCAGATCAGAAGTCCACATAAGCATTGATATGGGGTTGCTGCCGTTGAGAATTTCTGGTAAAAAGACTGCTCATGTATGGCCACAGAAGTCAGGAAGAGGTCACCAGAGGTGTTTGAAAGAATGAATCCAAATTTTGGCAACAGAATCTTCTCACAACAAATTTTTGTAATCTATAAATAGTCCTTGACTCACTCAAAGCTACAATGGCACTGAAAAAAACTGACTTAGGACAGTTTTCACACTTATGGCCCTTGCAATATCCTCATGGTCAAGTAATCAACATTAAGATGTTTAGTAAGTGATTCATATTTATGACAGTTGCAGTATCTTGGGGTCATGTGATCACCTTTTAACAAGCAAAGTCGATGGGGAAATCAGATTCACTTAACAACCATTATTACTAAGTTAACAACTGCGGTGATTCACTTAACAAGTGTGGCAAGAAATGTCATAAAATGGGGTAAAACTCATTTAACAACACTCTTGCTTAGCAACATAAATTTTGAGCTTAATTGTGGTCATATGTCAAAGACTACCTTGGATCTGAAATCCCCTGCTTCGTATTCATTATTAAGCAGATGGTTTAATAATTCACCGATAATCTAGAAGAACTATGTCTTTCAGAATTATGTGGGGTCCTTACATGTAGATCTTCATCCTATATATATAGTTTGGAGTATATGCTTGTTGAGCTGCATTCCCAGATAAACATGTTTGAAAGAAGTCAATATTAAAAATGCTTTGACAAATTGCTTTGTTATTCCTATTTGGGCACAACTGACACTACAGTGAAGGGGTTTGGTTTTTTTGAGTCTTTCTATTCTCCTTTTTTATAGCCAAACTGTGATGATTGCCTGTGTGAGTCCTTCAGATCGGGATTTTATGGAGACCCTGAATACCCTTAAATATGCCAACCGTGCTCGCAACATCAAGAACAAAGTGGTGGTGAATCAGGATAAGACCAGCCAGCAGATCAGTGCCCTGAGAGCTGAAATTGCTCGTCTCCAGATGGAACTTATGGAATATAAGGCAGTAAGTAGAAGCCATGAGCAACTGCTTGTTACTTGGAAATTAGTGTTTATTCCTAAATCAAATACAGACTTCTATATTAGAAATATTTCTGGTGATTTCAGTATGCTTTTGAGTCTTCGATGTTTTATATAATCCTACTTAAATACTGCTTCGAAAAACCCCAAGCCAATTTTTATATGAGCTCTGTTTCACTCTTTTTTTAGCACTTCCCCTTCTGCAATGGAATAGTTATATGTGAACAGTCAGAAGTGTTTCTAACCTCTCTTCAAAATGTATATATTGATGACCTATAATGCAACTAGTGAACCCAGAAATAGCCAGAGTTGACTTCATTTCTCTCCCCGCTCCTCTTTTTAAGAGATCTCAGGGTGAAATACTGAGAGGAGTATTTGTGAGGAGTGAAACTTACATGTGGCCTAATTGGAGTACATTTCCCTCTTGGTGTAAATAGATAAGTCAAGGGCATGGTTCATGGAGGAAGATAATGTTTGAAGTTCAGGATTAGAATATCCCCTGGCCAATAAGAGCAGAGCTGAAAGTACATTCCAAATTTTCTCACCTGCTAAACAATCTCTCTGCTCTCTCCAAATATTTTCATGGAATTGGGAATTTAAAAGATGGGACTTAAAAGGCTACTTCTGTATTTTCACTAAATATGTGAATATTCAAAAGTGTACTAATGTATTCCTCCAAACTCATTGACTGTGTTTGCACATAATACTTAAGATTTTTTTAACCATGTTGATCAAGTCTTTTTTGCCAATGAATCATTGCTAAATCCAAACCAGATTGTATTATGCCATTGTGTTGTTTGTGAACTAGGTCACTGAATATCCTGCGTTCCTAGTGAATTGCTAACTGTAACAATGAAGGAATTGTATCAGCTCTGCTCTGCCATGTAACTAAGAAGTGGGCTTTATGAAGTGTCAGAGGAGAGCTTTGCTTTGATTGAGGTTCAAATAATAAAGCACCCTTTTGATGTATCTCCAAGAAGTGAAACGAAGCCCCACTTGTAGCCTCTGCACATTGCTTCTAAGTTTTATCATCTTGGTGACTTCACTGGCCTTAAATCTTTTCTGCACACTTGCATGCACCAAAGATATTTCTGCAGAGCAAAGGAGAGCAGCCCAAGGCTGTTGGTTGGAGGTTTAGCTAACTTTTTCACATCAAGATAACACTTCAAAACAGAAATGTTTTTGAGTTGAGGCAGCTTCACAATGTCTGTTCTTCAGTTTACCAGATCTAGCTATTTAGAAAGATAGTGCAGGTAGTCCTCGACTTAAGACCACAATTGAGTCCAACATTTCTGTTGCTAAGTGAGACATTTTGCCCCATTTTACAACATTTCTTGTCACAGTTGTTAAATTGTTAAGTGAATCACAGCAGTTGTTACATGGTTATTAAGTTAATCTGGCTTCCCCATTGACTTGACTTGTCAAAAAGTTACTGTCAACTAAAAATATTTCTTTGGTTTTTTTAGTTGCCAGCAGAAAGAGAGTGGGGAAAGTAGTGTATTCCTTAAATGTTTCAGATAATTGCTAGGCAGCCAAAGCTGTTGGCATGCAAGATTATTACTGGAGAGCATGATTGATGACTCTTGGCTATGGATGTGTCCCATTGGAGAATATACATCCAGGCGGTGGGGGGAAGACCAGGTCAAGGGTGAAATGAATGATGTGTCTTAGAGTCGGCTGCACCCAGGTAATGCCGACTTGGTCACTCCTAATCATTTTTTTTTACTCTGTGTGATGTGGCTACAGACTTATGATTTGAATTGGGTTGGTTTGATGGAGCCTTGACAGTTACAAAGGCTAATCACATGACACTGGGATACTGTAACCATCATAAATATGAATCAGTTGCCAACCATCTGAATTTTGATCACATGATCAGAGGGATCTTGCAATGGTCCTAAGTGTCAAAAATAGTCCTAAGTCACTTTTTTCAGTGCCATTGTAACTTTGATCAGTCACTAAATAAATTGTTGTAACTTGAGGACTACCTGTAAAAACAAATATATTCTGAGTTACAGTCAACGATTACCCTGTTTTTCAAGTTCTGGAAAACGCTTATGATGCCTATATGTAGATTTATTTCTGTTGTATTTTGTTTTAATGTTATGTATATAATCTCCTGTGCAGAATTCATAATCAAAAACCTAAAAATACAAAAGAGACATACATCTTGTCTACTACTTCTATAATCTATTGTCTGTTCAAAAGGATATATATGAAAGGCACCCCTACTTCAACGTGCATGAGAATAAATACCTCAGTACCAGAATATGATATAGTTTTGCTCTATAACTTCTACTCTCACAGAATAACCAACTGACAGCTTTTTGTTCATTTCAACCTTCCTCACTGTTTTCTCCCCACCTCAAAGGGTAAGCGTGTTATTGGAGAAGATGGCTCTGAAGGCTACAGTGATCTGTACCAGGAGAACGCCATGTTGCAGAAGGAAAACACCACTTTACGTATGCGGGTGAAAGCCATGCAGGAGGCCATTGATGCAATCAACATCCGTGTCACCCACTTGATGAGCCAGGAAGCCAACCTGATTCTTGCCAAGGCAGGTGAGACTGTGAGAGCCAGCTCAAAACCCAGCATAGAGTGAACTCTGTAGATTTCTTCAGTAACAGTGGAACCTTTGAATTTACAGAGTTCCTTCACTAAGGAACAGATTACATGTGACATCACTTATATATTGAGACAAATATGCTTAATCTGGGTTCATTGCTTTTGGAATAACAGCTACTTCAGAAGCATTTATTTATTCAGTTTATAGAGCTACATACACAACCTGAAATTCAGGGCAGAGTACACAATTAAAAACAACAAATAACAGTCATCAAGGAATAAAATATAATAAAACATGCTAGAGGAAGCCCAGATAACATAAATAATCAAAAAAGACTCATAAAACTCCTCCCCCTCCCCCTCCCCTCTACTCCTCCATCATCATCATCATCTGGGTATTCAGAGTTAGAAGGCAGACTGACAGCCCAAAGAAGCAAGAACAATATGTAGAGTTACTTCTGAATAATTCCATTTTTTGTTGTTCGCCTACAATAGAGATACGTGGTCTGACAAAGAGATCCCCCTCTTTCTTTCTTTTTTTGCCTCTCCCAAATGCTGTTACTACAAAACAAACTAACAAAAACTGTGGAACATATTTGTTAGGTAGAGAATCAACCCAATTTTACCTACAAAAACCTGATGACGGATTCTGATTGGGTGAAATTCTGGATTGAAGGGAGCCTCACTAGTATTTTTCCTCCATATTAAAATAAGTTAACTAAATGATTATTGTTATATATTTGATTTTAGGATCATTGCCTATACGTAGCATTCCTAGTAATCAAGAAGATTAATTACATTTTCTTAGGATATTTTTACCTAGCCTTTTCTCTTAACTGGATTACTTCAGTTTTAAAAGTTGTTTTTGTTATTGTAGTTGATGTTTTTTTTTTCTTATTTGTACATTTTTCCAGGTGATGGTAATGAGGCTATTGGTGCTCTGATACAGAACTACATCAGGGAAATTGAAGATCTCAGGTAAATAGAAGCTTTTTCATTTATGTTCAGGTTTTTTTGGTGGGTGAGTGGGAGCTAGAAGCCATATTCAGATTTGGGAGAGGAAAAGTTCTGGTATAGAAGAAAAGTTAAAACACATAGAAATTAGTAATTTCTCAGAAGTTACAGACAGTGTAGATTAAAATGCCTAAGAATTTCTTCACACTACACAAAGTTTATAGTCTGAGTTTTACATTTGTTTTGGTGGTACCCAAAATGGTACCAGCACAAAAAAGCAGCTGGTTGTACATGCCCCAAAGAGGCAGCAAGGACAGCAGGCATAAATGCAGGAACATACAATTGGAACAGCCATAATTTCATAAACTCACAATAACCAGATTTCAGCGTCATCCAGGCATGCAGGTGCAAGAAAGGCAGAACTACTACATTTGTATAGAAGGATATAGATGGAGTAAGACAATGCAAAATAAATGTTTAACATTGACAGTTCCTATAAATATACATCTAGCACAAAGGCACAATTGCCAATTTTTTAACTGATAGATAAGATTAAATCTTCCCCATTTGCAGAACTCCAAAAGTTTAAATTTTCGGGTGCCTGAGGTAATGTTGTAGGACATCTTGAAACTTGTATTTACACTTGAAAACGTTGTACAGAAAAAAGGATTCATGCTACATTTTGATCACTGCTGAATTCTTACGAGAGATAATTCGTTGATGTTTGAATCAATCCTTGATATCATTAGACAATTTATGCAATGCAGCCTGTTTTCTATGATCTTGAGAATCTGAGTAGGATGAACTTTTAATATTTATTTTATACTTTTATTTTTTTTATTTTTGAGTTTTCTGCTATATAAATAAATTTATGGAGGGGCATATTTTGGATCATATGTAATATAGTAATCTTTTGAACTTAGAATATCAGGAAATTATGTCATTAAAATAAGGTATTAATTGTGTTCTTTCATGCTTCTTGGGCGAATAAATTATCCCTACCAGAGAACTTCAAAGAATTTTGTATCTAATTAGGTAGATGATGTGGTTTTGTGTGTGTGTGTGTCTACGTGTGTCTCCTTTGTAGGACAAAACTCTTAGAGAGTGAAGCTATGAATGAATCACTACGCCGCAATCTAAACCGGGTTTCAACCAGGCTGCCCTATTCCCTGGGCTTATCACCAGGGATTGGATTGGGAGATTCACGTTCCCCTGCGCCCTCGGTGGAAGCTGAAGCCACTGACGTTCTACAGTGGGCCAAGCAAGATGTTGAGAGGCTGAAGAAGGAGACAAAACTGCGAAGAAAAAGGTACACCATATTTCCCATTTCATAAGTGCCACACTCTTTATAACAGTGCCTAGGGATGGTTCATCCACTCTCTCTCCGTCCTTCCTATTCTGTACCAATTCTTGCATCTCAGCAACCATTATTGAAGACTGCAACTACCCAGAGTCACCAATGTATGAGTTGGGTGGCTATATAAATGTATTAAATAAAAAAAAATGCAATCAGAGGAATGAATGTGGTGGTGTAGCGGTTAAAAGGACTGGGATAGAGTCTGTGAGCTATAATTCCTCCTTGGGCATGACTAAACAGGGTAACTTTAGGTCTGTCACTCTCAGCCCTAGAAATAAGACAACAGCAAACTACCTCAGAAAATCTTGCCAAGAAAGCTATGTGGATTTATCCAGGCAATTGCCAGAAGTTAAGACTAACTTGGACATACATGGACATGGACTGCATGGACATACAGACACACAAATCAGTGATGCAGCAAAGAAAATTGCTGGAGATCCCTGCTTTGGGACGTATTTCAATTAAAATGATAAAATGTAGGGCCATGGTGACTGGCAGGATTTCTTATTCTGGGTCCTGAATTGTGTATTTATAAGGGTTTGAGCTATCTATCATTTATTCCTCCTTAGTATAAGAAAGCAGTGATGGAAAAAAAATCAAACAGAGTTTTGATACCACATTTTTTTCTGTTTCTTAGTTCCCTAGATTTAGCAATTTAAATGCTAATTTATTAATCAAATAGATTTGAATCTCTAATTAAAACATTATAGGTTGTGTTTCAGCTGGCTGAAGAACTTTTACTGAAGTTCAGTGTGTTCTGCAACAAGAAATAAATAAATAACACCATTGTGCCCTATGGCATCACTCCCATGTAATTATGCATACATTGTACTCATGCTTAAATCAGGTTACCTTATAACTTAGGTATTGTTGTGTATCTTGTCATTCTGCTTGTCTCACTTGTCATCACTCTTGTAATGAGCTTCTGCTGTTATTGCTAGACTGGTATACGTAGTATAAAGACCATAAGTACGTATGAGTCTGTCTTGCTGAAGGCTTTGTGAAGGTATTGTCAAGTAAAGGGACTTGGCCAAGATCTATAAAAAGATTAATATTTAGACTGTCCTGTTGGTGTTTTTCATTATTGATATAAATGAAAGCAATGTTCTTTTGATAATAATGATATCAACTCTGATGGTGGATCTTCTGCCTTTTAGGCTGAAATCTTAAAATAAAAGAAATGGCCTAAAAATAAAACAAGCACTGACATAGCATTCACTTCTCTTTGATAGCCCAGAGAAAGAAGGATTTAAAAAGCGTTTAAGGTTGCAGCAGGGAAACGAGGCAGATGAGAATGAGGCAGAAGAGGTAAGAGGCTTTCCTTCTCCTGTGTGTGTGTAACTTCTGTGGTCTTTTACTCACCCATCCATAGGGCTCCATTTACTGCAGAGGCTTGATAAAGAGGATAAGAGCACTTTCCCAACCATAGAGTGCAAGTTCAGGTTGGACTAAAAGGGCTTCCAAGTAATTTTTGCCATTAAATTTAACCTCTGCTTTCGGAATCTCCTGACGTAAGCAATTCCCAGCTAATTTTTTTTAGCTTCAGAATGCAATATCTTGTCTCATCTCCAAGAATTGGGTGCTTTTTTTTTAATGCCCATTAGCATGTGAAGTAGAATAGTCAGGCCGCAATGTAAACTTAGAAAGGTACACAGTTAGAGAAAGGCCTGATCCAGATCTGATAAGGTCCTGTATAAAGCCCATTAGAAGGCATATGCTGTGGTGCTAGGCACAGCCAAGAAGCAGGGGACTTGCTAGCAATCAATAGCTGATATAGTATGAATTACAAAACAAAATAAGGAATTGTGATTTAAGAATTCTGTCCTCATTTAGCAAACCAAAGAATGAGTTACAGCTGAAATATCACAATTCTTAAAATAAAGAATTAAAACAAAAGAATGAATTATTAAAATTAACATTTGAGTCAGCTTATACAAAATAGGAATTTTAAAAACCTGAGTTGTACTAAATGGGTTCATAATCACTACAGGCAAATCTCAGTAGGGTTGCAGGTATAAACAGAAAGAAACAGCCTCTCAAAAAGCCTAGATCTAAGCTGTATAGGTTTTAAACATAGCATCCACCACTTCGTATTTTGTCCAGAAATGAATTTGAAGCCAATGTAGAGCTTTGGACACCAAGCTTTCTCAATATCCATTCTGATTCAATTTTCTCATCATCCATAGTTTGGATTCTTAGTATTTGCTGATCCTTTCAGTGGAAGAATATGGTTAAAATTAAGAGGGAAGTTGTTATTTATAGGGGATAACATCTCTCTAATCCGAAAGCCTCTAGATATATCTCAATTCAACTTTAATAATTCTAAACCTTGTCTATATGTTGAAATCTCAGCACATCTAGGAAAATATTGGCTGAGAGAAGACTGTCTTAATCATTGCAAAATTCACCCTACCAAACTACCACCAAGGCAGTTCCCACTAGAGAAAAACAAGCAAAAAAAAAATTGACAACAGTAAATCAAATCCAAATAGAAATTGGGAGGGGTTAATATTGTGATATATATTGTAAGGAATAGTATTGCAACTCATTTATTTTTTATCATGGTTTTCCTCCTATTGAAGGAGGAAAGGGATGAAAGTGGCTGTGAGGAAGAAGGTGGCCAGGATGAAGAAGATGAAGAAGATTCAGGGAGTGAAGAAAGCCTGGTGGATTCTGATTCAGATGTCGAAGAAAAGGGTAAATATCATGCAGTAAATATTGAATGATTTCACAGTGTGTAATGCCATCACTGTAATGATTAAAATATGAGAACCATCATATCAGAATAGATTAAAAATTCCATTTTGTCCAGCAACTGTTTCCACATTGGCCAATCACTGGACCAAATGAAAATCTCAGAAGTAAATGAATTTATTTCTGTAGCAAAATAATTTTCCTATTTATATATATTAACAACAGTTAGATAAATGTTTCCTGATTCCAGGTAAATGCATAACAGCATATTAGTTTCAGGTACATACGAGTCTTTTGTTAGGATTGATCAGTGTGCATAGGCCATAGGTCATTTTAAGTATTGTCGTATTTTTTCCCAATTACTTTGGGAACACATTATACAACCTTGAACATGTTAGTAGGATGGTGGAAGCTGTTATCTAAAACACTGGGTGGAAAAGGCCGTGTTAAGTTTATTAAGAGGCCTTATGCGTTCTGTCTTAAAAGAAGGCTGTAGTGAATTGAGTTCTGACCATCTTCAAAATATAGTTACAACTCTTGGTTTTTGAAGGTAGCACAAGGCAATAGCTAATGCGTTGGATGTTCATAAGGTAGGTGGCGTAATTTAAATAAATAAATAGGCAGCCACACATGATTGAAATTTTTAAAAAAGTCATGAGAACTTCTCCAAGCAAAACAAGTTCAAAATACCAGCAATTTTTCTCTTTTTATGAAAATGAGATGGGCAAGACCTAAATATGATAGATAGATAGATAGATAGATAGATAGATAGATAGATAGATAGAT